GGCAAACTGATCGTTTATTGCAACCGCACGTAGGAACCAGTGAATGAATACCGTGTTCTGTTTGACTTCCACGCAGCTGCCCCGCCTGCTCTGCTGCACTCCACCCGGGAGAGCCAAGCAGTGCGTCACCACCAGGTCACCACGGCCGCGCCGCGCCGCCGAGGGCCGCTCCCGTGTCTTCAGGGTCGTCTACAAGTAAGCGGAAGCTCTCGTTTGTGGCTTCTAGTTGGCTTATTGGACATTAATTTGGAAAAATGTTCCTAATAAAGTTTCGTCCCTGTTGCAGAGTAACCGTGAGGCACGCTTGCTCGTCGGCTGCAGCCCACCGGGACGTCCGCGGATCATCCTCTCGCCAACGTTTCAGCTCCAGTAGAACGTTATTCAATTATGTGGAGATGTTCAGATATGCTCGTTTCTCCACTTGCTTCTCCAGTTCCACTCCAGTCAGCAGGAATTCACTGCGGTAGGCGAGGACATCTCGATTCCAGGACACTTTTGGACTCGACACCCCGTCATAGGTGTCTGCTATCAACTCAGCTTCGCTGCCTACCGGAGTATCCGGGAAAGGTAAGAAAGTGTTTCGCCTGGGCTCTGAGATATCTTCCAAATTTACAATATTGTGCATTTACTACTTACTGTAAAGATTTTTGATTTCTAATATGTACCTATCCCCTGCTCAGGTTGTTTCTTGGTGACGATGCCTCAGAATTTGGTACCTAATTCTCTGAAAGCCGCCACTTTATGGATTCCTTTGACTGCATAAGAGTCAGGTAATTAATACCTTCAATATATTCAAATATGAACACATTTTCCATGTTTAATTTATTTTCAATTAATGATTTTTTGTCAAATGTTCTCTAACACCTACCTATTCCCTCAGGTTCTTTCTTGGTGACCATGCTGCAGGCCAACAGCTCCCACAACTCAAATAATTTGGTGCAAAGTTATCTGGAACACTTTGGATGCATTGGCTGCAATAGTGTCCGGTAATACCTTCAATATATCCAGATATGAACACACTTCACTCACTCTTCAATGCACTTCATGTACTGTAATTTCTGATGCTCCAAAGGACAGAAATTTGTCCCTGGCATCAATTTGACATCACTGTCTAATTTCCACTTATTGCTTTTCCACAGTTCGAGGCAAGTTCCAGTTCGACCCCCCTGACATCAGGAATTCACTGTAGCCAGCAAAAACATCTCAACCCTGATACTCGCAAGACCTGCAGGACTCTACACACCGACATCCGACATTGCTTCCTGCTTCTAACTCTGCTTCGCTGTCTCCAAGAATAACCAGAAAAGGTAAGCAACTGTCTTCACTAAGCTTAGATATCTTCCATAATTTTAATTTTCTTTGAATTTATTATTTACTTAAATGTTTTTCTAAGTAACAATTATCTACCCCCTCAGGTTATATTTCAATGCTCTGCTCTGCCACCGAATGGGATCCTTCCACCTTCGTCCCCCACCCTTCTCCTCCCC